CTGAAGCCATATAGAATCATAGCAATTCATTGGCTGATGGTGCTGAAGTACCACTCATACGGATCTTCATAACAGCACCTTTATAATTTCACAGTCACCTCCTTTATTCAGGTAGGAATAACCCACCTTAAAGTGAGTTATTTCCAATAATTGTCTGGGATGATATGCATGACATGGGTCTCCTGTTCTTGTTCAGGATCTGGATGCCCACACTGCAAGCTTCTATGCAATGTGTCAGGAGAGACATCAAGGAGAGACATCTGACCGAGGGTCACAACGCTTCCTGTCAGTCACCTCTCTGAAGTCTCCCTTCTTCTTCTACGCATCACGCTTCCTCTGTGCTTTACTCCGAGAACGGGGAGGAGCACGAGTGGAAACATACATTTTCTGGTCCTGTCTCCGATCCTCAGATTCTTCCCAGTTTCCACAAGTTCAGCCACAGATGTCTCTCCATGGCCACCATTACTCACACTTCTCATCGTCACCAACCACATCCACATCCTCAGTCTCGTGAGCAGATGACGCCAGCAGGGTGCTATCCGCAGGATCTGAAGACTCAAGAGAAATAGTGTCTGGATCCTACCGATCGTTTGAGCTTGCGGTTGAAGATCTAGAGAGATCCAATCCCTTTTCGAGCCTCTCTGCGAGCTCGACCTGCGAACCCCACAACGCGAGTTTCCATCATGCCTCAGCAGCAGTGGGACCCGAGCCATGAGACGCAGATGCAGATGCCTGCCCCGCATCCTGCGAGAATAGGGACAGGCGAGAGTGGAGCTTCCTCATTGGAAATTTTTCCCTCGTGCACTGAACGTGCGTGTTCCTTGTCGAGACACACAACGCAAAAGTCATGTGTGTCCTCAGGTGTCAAATATCTCTGACACTGAAGCACACATTTCCTAAAACGCTCGCTCGACTTCTTACTCTCTGTAGTGCTTCACACACTCTGAACAAACAGACGGTTCCTGAAGACAAAAAAAGCTGATGACGTGCATTACAGGCGCCCTTTCATACTCTGGGCTCTCCGCTAATGTGGGTATGTGGTCCAATGAGTTTGAATTGTTTTCACACATGCTTCAGACACCGGTCATGCTGATGGCATTCCCCAAAGTGTCCCCTAGGGGACTCAGTGTGGAGTTCCCTAGAAGGGGACCAAACTGGACGCGCTTTCTGCCATTTCTGTCTCTGTGCACTGGAGCATGGCACAAAAATGAATTGAAACTCAGCGAATATAAGCTATATGTCTCACAGATATGAAAAATATATCTATAGCAAGTTCGAAATGTCTACTCTAAAATTAAACAATTTGATTCGAAAAAGGTGCATTTCTCTCTGAAGGCTCATCACTGTACTGAGGAGATGGCGAGTCAGAATCGTCAGCTTCATGTCTGCAGCCGACACCGACTCGGAAAACACTAGTTTATTAATACATATTAAAAAAATATCTCCTTGCTATTTTTCCCGACATATTCATAGCCATTATTACTTTTGCCGTGCTTTGCAGCAAGATATATGACTGCGCTTGTGCGCGAATAGACAAGCTAAATTAAAAGGATCATTATGGCTTACTATATATTTAATTCAATTAATATAAACGTGCGTTCAGTCGAATAACGGCTTAAATTAATGACTAGAAAAATCTTTAGTGGGGGGCCAGCCCTAGTTTTAATCCAGTCCTCCTTTCTTCTATAACTCTTCCAGCTGCTGCTGATGGTGGGTACACTAAACACCGTGCGAGCCAGTCTTTACAGTATCAGTAGCCTGATCTTGTGTTGTTTCCATCAGAGCATCTTTTCCATTACCTAAATTGATAAATGTCTGAAATATAAAAAGGAGAAGCCTAAACAGGCCCAATACCCGGCCCGTGTGTGAGCTATGATGTGAAAATTGGCCCAAATCCCGACCCTAGGGGCGTGAATAAGTCGGGCCCCATCAGGCTGAAATGCAGGACTCTACTGCATAGGTGTGTGCATCTTGCAGAAAATCTGAGTTGGTGTGATTCTATAGGGCTTCAGACCTTGTGTCAACTGACATGTTCCCTATTTTCATTACACAGTGACTTATTTCCCACTTTGGGAACCAGGGTTACATTAAGTAAAACAGACATTTTTCATTTATTTCCTTTAAATTAAAACCCATTTTTATGTCTTTTTTTCTTTGATATTTTGCATGGCTGTGAAGGAATAGGTTTGAAGACTTCATTTACTTAAATGTAATTAAGTGTTAATGTATTAAACCGAAAACAATGTTAGTAATGCCCCATAGCAACTTAAAATTAATTGACAGACACAAAAATGGTGTTGGTAACTAGGAAAGTATTTTTAGTATGTTTGCTTGTAAGTACATTAAAAGAAAACCATGCAAATGGGTTTAAATTGAAATCTGTTTGAAGCAGTGCCACAGTTTGGCGAAGAAATAAAAATATCATGACACTTACTTTTTTGTGCATTCACATAAAAAGTCAAGTCGGATTTTATGTGAATTTTATGTGTATATAGAGCGGTGTCATATTAAAATACTTAACAATTTCAAAAAGTGGCACATGGAGGGACTAGTCAAAGACAAACACAGATTACGGATGAATTTGATCAGCACAGCATTTTGCAGGCCATGCAGAATGGGAGGGAATAGAACTGACTGTGGTAGCTAGAACATGTTTCAACTCAGGATGATGCATTTAAAGGTGGTTCATAGTGAACTGGACAAAAAAATGGGGGAAAAGGCTGTTGGAAAACCAAATTAAAAAACTGTCAAAAAATGTATGCCAAACACCAGGTGTGACCAACCAGTTCTGAATTTGTTTTTTTTATATCTACAAATAAAGGAAAGATAAAAATATAAAAAAATAATAATAATAATAAAAAAATACGGCAAACCCAATATAAGAATCAATTAGAATAATATCTGCCGAACAATGTAGTTTGTTTACCATAGCATGTCCAATGCCTGAGTGCTTTGTGGAAAAGGAGAAAGGAAATTAAAAAGTGTGAATAGAATAACGTCTGTTACTCAAACAAAATAAAGATATGATGATTACCAAGGTTAGTACATAGTTTGTTAAACATTAAAGAAACAGTTGGTTAGTAGCATGACACATTCCATGAGCAATGTTAGTTTTACAAAGCATATTAGTAACTGCATAAAAACCAACAAAATAATTGATATGCTTATACTGTATGTGATGCATTAATGCTAGTA